AATGCTCCTGTTTGGAGAGCATGAAATCACACCATCAGAGGGTGTCCAGCAAGGGTATCCTCCTGCACAATTTCTCTTCTGTATAGCAGTTAGGGAAATCACAGTCAGACTGACCAGTGAGCTAAACATCTGGTTCCTGGATGATGGCACAATAGCAGGTACAAAGGAGTCCCTCTTAGGTGATCTTACACAAGTGATGACCTGAGGACAGGAAATGGGTATCATCCTGAATCCATCCAAATGTGAAATCATTTCAATCAACAAGTGATAAATTCAGTGAGATCCAAACTACCAGGAGCATCAGTCATTGCCCCTACAAATATCGTCTTGCTTGGAGCACCTCTGGGAAGCGATGTCATTGACACAATCCTCAGGAAGAAATTTGAAGAGTTGAGGAGAATGGAACGACGAATAGGCAGTCTTGACACCCACGATGCCTTGTACCTTCTCACAAAGTGCTTGAGTCTGCCAGGTTGACATATTCACTAAGATGAGCACCTTCATAAGATAACCCCATACTGCACGAATATGACAGTATCCTGAGGCAGATTTTTAAGAAAGTACTTAACCTTACTCTAGAAGATGGGCAGTGGAACCAAGCTACACTTCCAGTCAGACTAGGAGGCATTGGTGTCCGCAAATCATCACAGATTGGATTACCTGCTTTCCTGTCCTCATGCATTGCATCCAGAGAGCTTGTAGCAGCAATTCTACCCTGAACATCTTAGGACAAGATTGGAGTCCAGGACCAAAAGTTCATTGACGGAGCCATGATCTGGGATAATCTAACGGGCTCTGAACCAGACCTGCTCCCCCCCAACAACTACAAACAATCGCACATGGGATGGCCCGATAGTGGAGAAAATAGCCTCAACAATGCTTCAGAGTGTGTCAGGGAAGGATAGAGCCCGCCTGCTGGCAGTGAGAGCTCCTCATGTAGGGGACTTTCTGTTGGCTGTTCCCAACTCCAGCCTTGACACATGGCTCGACCCACAGACCATCTGTATTGATGTTGCCTTCGACTTGCCGCCCCTATTCTCGCTGAAACACAGATGTATTTGTGGCAGTGAAGCAGCAGACCGATTCGAGTACCATGGTCTTGTGTGCCCTAAATCGAGGGAAAGATTGCAAGACTTGAGGAGGTTAATAACATTATCAAGAGGAACCTCAGAACAGCGGATTCCCAGCAGTAAGGGAGCCACCCCAACATGCAGATCTGATGGCAGCAAGAAGCGTCCAGATGGTATCACACTTCAAGCCTGGACAGACGGTAAGCAGGTGGTGTGGGACTACACATGTGCATCTACCGTGGCTGATACCTATCTCCAATACACCAGGAAGAAGGAGGAGCAGCTGCCAGCTTCAGGGTGTCCCAAAAGTCTGGAAAATATGGAGAATTTGCCCATCATTATATGTTTGTTCCCATAGGCTCAGAGACCCTTGGCTCATGGGGAAAGAATGCATCTAAGTTCCTTAAGGAGCTAGGCAAAAGACTCATCAGGTTAATTAGAGATCCCAGGTCTGTTCCAGCGACTCAGCGCTGCTGTTCAGAGGGGTAATGCCTGCTGTATTTTGGGCCCGTGCCCCAGTTCTGAAGAGCTGGATGAGATTTTCACATTATAATCAGTGACAAACATATAACAATATGTACTAGACATGTATCTCTCTAAAATTCTCTTATATGTTTAAAGATATATTTTTTCATTTATGTTAATGTAAAATTAATAATTTTTTTACCCAAAGGAACCTAAAAAAGCTGACCTGACCTTATTATAACAAGCGTATTTAATTTAGCTAAATCCAACCAAATACAGTTTAGATAAGTTTACAATAATTTAATAATAAAACAAACACAAGGAATATATTTTTTCGTTAGGTTGAAAATAATTTTTGCAAAATTATCGCATACACAAATATTCGCTTGCCGTATTAGGCAAGAAGAGCATTGTTATTTAAGCCAAATCGCAAGTTTTACCTATTCGGCACCACATAAATATATTAACAATTGTGGCTTCTTGAGAAAGGAATCTTTTATTATAAGAAGTATGACCAAGGTTAAATATGACCAAGGTTAAATATGACCAAGGTTAAATATGACCAAGGTTAAATATGACCAAGGTTAAATATGACCAAGGTTAAATATGACCAAGGTTAAATATGACCAAGGTTAAATATGACCAAAGGGTTTAAAAATGACCAAGGTTAAATATGACCAAAAATTATGACCAAGGTTAAATATGACCAAGTTAAAACCGTCTAAGCGACTTCCAGTTTTTTTATAATTAATTTTTATTTACCCTCA